ATTCATGTGAGGAGCCTCAGAATTACTATTTTGGCAAATTTATTAAGGTGGCCCTAGTGGTAAAGAACCTGCCTGCCAATGCAGGAGACATAAGAGACATGTGTTCAATTCCTGGGTCAGGAAGATTCTCTGGAGGAGGGCATGGCAACCCACTCCAGTATTCTTTCCTGGAGAATCCCATGGACAGAGGGGCCTGGCAGGCAAAGCATTGGACATGACTGAAGCAACTTAGCACATTGATAAATTGAGAAAGGCAATTTTGTGTATTGGATGCCCATTACTCATCATCTCAATAAAAAACCCAAATGACTCATTTTCTTCTCAGTGTGGTGGGGAAAAGCGACACTTCTGAACTGAATCCTGGCAGTAGTCTTCCTGAATTATCACATTGCTTCACAGAGGTAAAGGTCTAGGGGAATGACCAGTGGGTTTAAATTATTTCCAGACCTGCATTGTAAAGTGCTGTGAATGCTAAATAATAAACAACAGACCTGCACTGTCACAAAATCTGATGAAACCTTGTAATGGTTTTCATTTAGTCTTGTGTTTAATGTAGTTATAATGTTCTGTACATCTAAAGAAAAATAGGTTATTGTATATTCTATGATTTGAGATGTTTGATAGATCTGAAATATTTTAATCTTGGGATCATCAATATACATAAACTTTAATCTACCTCTGAAATTCCTTTGAGATAATATGAATTCCCATCCCTGATGTTATTAGAGTTATTTCTTCAGCATCAGTCCTTCCAATGAACACCCAGGACTGATCTCCTTTAGGATGCATTAACACGGTTTATCTACAGAATTGTATCCTTCTTTAAAATGGAATTCTGCTTGAACACAAGGACAGTGTCTTTACTGTCCTTCCTTATAGCCTCTTCCTCGACCTTTTGACCCCAGTCACTGCTGTGACAGCTCAGTGAAGTTGTGACCCACTGGGTCCTTGCCTCAGCTGCCCCACACAATTCTTGCTTTCTGACCTGGGGCTTCCCTGAGGCTGTTGTTTGCAGAGGCCAAGTTACCATTCTGCCCCATGCACACACTGGAAGTGGGAGTGAACTAAAACCCCTTGGGGCAATGATGGGAGTTGGAGGATAAGTAATCCCCACATCCCATACTATTCAGGGAGACATCGGGGTCTCATTCTACTAGGCACTTCAAAGCTTCTCAGGGCTATGGAGCTAGAGTTGCCCATTCAAGTGCCTGGTTCAGTGAAGTGGTTTTGGATCAGCTCAGCTTTCCCTCTTTCCCTGTTTGAATCTGCCCAGTCCTCTACTCCTGTTCCTTGGAATCACATTCCAGGGTAGATGATCTTGTCTCAGGCTCTGCTTTTGGGGAGAACCTAAAGTAAGACAGAGCCCTCATTTAAAACCAGCTTCACTATGTTACATTTTTCTCCATTGAGAGATGTTTGGAAACTATTTGCAGGTCTCAAAAAGTAACCCCTAAATAAGGATGGTACAGAATACAAGTAAATAGGATAGCATCCACTACATAATAATGTTACAATGAATGAAATGTTTTGTGAATTAGGCATTTTTATTCCCTCAGTCAGGAGATGGACTCAGACAATTGCTCAGTTTTATAAAAATAATTCTCCATAATTTTACAGCTGTGTCTTAGGTAGTAACTGAGTAGTGATGTTTTGATCATTGCTTTGTAGATGGTGAGGCCCTGACACAGCAGCTTTCACTGAGCAAGTGGTGAGGCTCTAGAAGACTCATGTCTTTCCCATAAAAGGTCAGTGCAGGGAGCCTGGGTGTGAAATCCTATACGTATACCAGTGGGCCAGATGGCTTGCTCTGATGTGCGTGACTCTGTGTGTGCGCGCATACATGTATGCATGTGTATTTGTTTCTTTTTTAAAATACAAAAATGAGTTCCAATCTAATGATCTTAAATATTACAATCCTCAGATTACGTATAAAAAAATTACATGTTTTGAAAATGAAAAGTATTGGGCAGTGAAATTGGCATCTAGAACCCTGTGCGTTCCAAAGGTTTAAATCACAGAATTTTAGAATCTTCTACAGCTAGGGAAAAAAGAAGTCACTCCGGGCAGATGGTTAGTAACAGAAGCCAGGCTAGAACCTAGGCCTGGGGAGCCGCCTTCGCGTGGTCCTTCTGTTACACCACACTGCCTTCTCTGGATGACCCTTCCTTTAAACCGGAGGTTGGCAGACTTTTTCTGTGAAGGTCCGGATAGTAAGTGATTTGGGTCTTGCAGGCCTATGTTGCTGTTGCAGCTGCTCACTCTTTATGGAGAGCAGCCGTGGAGGATCCCGCCGTGAGTGAGCAAGGCTGGGTTCCTGTGCAGCTTTGCTTACAAGCCCCAGTGGGAGGCCTGCTTTGGCCCCTGTTTTACGCCATTGGTGTCATGGTAGTTTTTGCCTGATGGTCACCAAAAGGCTACTGCGTCCTAGAGAATTAAAGCCACCCCCCAGCCTGTTGGTGAGCTGGGCGGTTGCATCAGCGCCCACACACGACTGGGCTTCCTTCCAGGTCAGGGTATGGTCAGACTCTGAGCCAGCGGCTGAGAGAGTGAGCCTGGCACTCCCAGCACTCTGGTTTCCAGAAGGAATCACAAATCCCCTTCCTGTGCAGATAAAGGAACAATTGTACCACGGGAGAACTTACTGGAAAGTAATGCGGGGTCACCAGGAAGGAAAAGGAATTCGCTGCTTGGTCACAGTCCTTCGTCTGGGCTGGGAGTCACTCGGACTTGGATGCTTGTCTGACTTTGGCAGGCCTCCAGGGCGCTGCCCTCATGGGATGAAACTCTGTGCTTGCATGATTTCTGTGCGGCTTCCTTTGGCTGCTCCAGTGACCCCGTCCTCTTCACAGTCAGGTATATAACTCCCCACACTGTTTCACCCCATCTCCTACGCTTATCGTCTGCCAGTGCTAAGCTTTTCTGCCTATTCATCAAAATCTCCAATAGACAAAGATTGTCTCCTCTCAGCTTTATCTTCCACAAAACTTGACAGCTTGACTTGTGAGTCCCAGGTCTGAGGACCTACAGGACAAATGTCTTTCCACAGAAGGTCGATGGAAGAAGCATGGATTAAACCCTATGCCTCTGTCAGTGAACTGGATGCAGTTCGTGTGCATTAATATGTGTGCATGTGTGTGTGTGTGTCCACATGTGTGCCTGTGTGTACATATGTGTGTGTACATGAATTTGACCTTTCAGTCAGGAGCTCAGCTTCCCTTTGGGTCTCTGAGCAGGAAAGATCCTTTGGAAGCTTTGGTACTCTCGGCTGGACTCGTGAGTGGGTGTTTCCCAGCAATCGTTCTCAAGTCTTTACTCCTTCTCCCGGTTTTCACCCTGTGAATCCATATAGTGGTCTTATAGGCGGGATGATGTTTCTGATGGATTTAATCATCTCATCCTGAACAGAGTACATGTATGTATCACTTGTTTTGATGATCAGCTGGTCAGAACTGCCGCTGGGCGTAGGCTCCTAATGAATGTCTAAAGCCCTGGGCCTGAAATGACTTAGGAAAACAATGGGCATTATTAGTAGTTCTCCAAGTAGCACTCTGGCCCTGGGGAGAGGGCCGCTGATAGTTCTGTGAGAGGAAGCAGAAATGAAGAGGAAGGAAGAAAGGAAGGAATAATTCATAAACAGCCAATTCCTGTAGCACCTGGCTATGGTTCCTACTGCTGTGAGAAGAATACCAATGGCTTCAATATTCCATTGTTTGTTTCTGGGAAGCATTTGCTTACTGTGCCGAGCAGCCTGGATCTCAGGCTGGCCACAGGGCAGAAAATGTGGTCGATGTGAAAGGAGAACTCCAGCCAAAATGCTTTAAATCACATTAATTTTTCCTTTATAACCCACTTTGACATTCTTCTTACTAAATCTCTGGTTGATTTTTAGTTACACTCCCTTCCTCTGAAGAATGGCATATTCTTAAAGGTACAAGTTCTACTGTTCTCCTCACATTATTGCTATTTTGTTAGTTTCTTTAATGGCCTCCTTTGTTTTGGTGAAATCTTTTTCATCCTTAGTAACAAATGCTGAGGAATGATTAATGAATACAAATGAAATACAGCTCACAAAACAGAAGCGAGAAAAGGCGGGGGAAGAGATACGACACTGGGAGGATGACTGTGAAATGGCTTATCACCACAAGGTGGCGCTATTAAAACACCTCATTTTAAAGTCCTAAGAAGGTTGCAAATAAAGAAGGAAAACACAAAGAGACTTTCACATAGAAAATACTTAGTATCAAAGGAGCGAAGTGTGTATGTGATGCATATTTGTGTGTATTTATGTGTGTATTAAAGCTGTAATTATTTGAGGAGGAGTAAATGTTATGGGGAGCAGGGATAGAATTGTGTTTGTTTTTTTGAGGGATGTGTTTCACAGCTGAACTCTTGTAATTCAAATATTAAATATTTTTATTAGATATTCAATACATTTAATTCCATTCAGATCTTTCCTGGAAACTTCTGAAGTGTGGCCTTGTAAACACCAGAATGATGGGTTACGCTTACCGTTCTTTAATCCGTTTTCATTCTACACAGACAGCTTGCACACCAAAGGCATTTATTTGAAAACAACTAGTGCCCCATTAGGGGAAACATGAAGCCTGCAGGGTTTCAAATGTTCTTGACTGCTTTGGGAACTTGGCGTGTGGAAAGTTGGTAAATGAATACTCGGAGAATAATTCTTCACTTTAAAACATGTTGTCTGTTATGTGACTCCCTTGGTGCCAGTACAATTGTCATTAAAAGTGAACGCTTTTGTGTTTGCGTGTTCTGTGTATGCATGGAGTATCCATTTACTGATGGACAGGAGATAAAAAGCTGATGTTTTTCAAGTTTGTACATTGAAGGTGGGGTATTGATTTAATGGTAAAGATAATCTTTCTTGAAGAAAGGCAGGAATGGCCAGTGATGTAATGTAAGTAAGTAGAAGCACCCAGAACTTTACACTGATGCTCCTTTATTTTGTCTCCATAGCAACCCTCTGAATCAGATGATGTTAATATCTTCATTCTCAAAGAGAGGCTCTAAGAAGTTAAATAACCTGTCAACAGTCACAAAGCAACTGTGTGGCAGAATCAAGAGGTAAGCCCAGAAATTATTCATGGGAGAACAGTGCAAGGATGTGAAAGGGAAAAAGGGTCTGCATTGTCTTGCAATTTGTATTTAAATAAAACCTGGGAAAATGACGAAGTCTCTCTGAAAGGAACAGACCTGTTCTGTCCTAATGTCTGCTTCCCATACAAGCAGATGAGGGATGTATATATCGTAATATGTACACATTACATATCATAACACACACACATTTTTTTCTGATTCTTTTACATAAATTTCCATCAACTTCTATGTCAGCATAACTATAATGTTTTCCACCATTCACAAAGAAGGAGGCCTGGAAAAACTGAATTTTTGCTATAACTGGGGAAAATAGTATAAGTTGATCATGGAAATTGTAGCTGTGGTGTCTCCCAGAAAACTCATACTACAGAGGCATTGACCTAACTGGAAATTCAGTTCATCATATAGAAATCAACTGGTTCCTGCTTAGGGAAAATATGTTAATAAGCACATATAACTCCAAGGACAGTGATACATGCTACATGCTCATCATGCTGGTGGAATGTTAGCCTGTAGAAATATTAAAAAAAAAACTTTTATTATTTTGAAGTGTATGGGAGAACTGTATATCAATTATTAGACTTTATGATTGAACTGTAGGGTAGTAATGTATAGCTTTATTTTGCAGAGGTGCCTCTGGGTCCATCCGGGAAGTTGTATGGAGGGAAATGTTATGTGTGAAGGTGCTGATGATGTGTGTAGAGGGAATGTAGTGGGAGATACGGGTTTTAGTCATTCACTTCAGTTTATTCTGAAGCAGCTGGGCTATTTCTGACATATACAGTGCTTTTGTACATGTGGAATGTTCGATTTTGATGTCAAGTCCCATAATATATCAAGGATCTAAGAGATTTATTTAAGACAGTTTTTCATGCAGTCATACTTAAAATATTCAGATATCAAAATATCAAAAATGCTTTTTTAAAGATGAGAAAATATCCCCTGTGTCCTATGGCCATCAATATTGGATGTGACATAATATTTGAGAAGTAAAGTCATTGTAGGTTTTAAAGAGATGCATCGCAAAGGAATCAAGTTCTTAATTTTATATATAGAAAAAGGAAAGAATCTCACTCTGTGATGACAAATCTCAAACCAGCTGGAGGCTAATTATCACAGAAATAAGAGCAACTAAGAAGCCTTTTGATGGAAGCAGAAGACCTGGGTTTATGTTGAATTTTTTGTTGTGTCCTCTGGTGGTCTGAAGCATTGACAGGGGTGCCATATATTTCATTGTTTCTTTGCTCATTTGTTCACAAGTATGTATTATGAAGGGATCTCAAATGCCCACTGTAGGGATGCAAATCAGAAGACTCAGATCAGCTGCCAGCTGCCAGTCTTCTTTGTTTATGAGAAAGGTGTGCTGTTTACATTCTAGCCGATTAGTTGTATTTTCAGGATAACATCTTTGGTAAAAGGGCCACCTGCTTGTTGTTGCTATTGCACTGTTGCCATTTGCCTGTTTTGCTAATGATTTGCTGCAGTTGAAACATGGTGTGACTTGGTCTGCTTCCCAGCTCCCGAGACCACAGCAAACACAGACAGGTACCTGCTTGACTCTCCAAGGCTGCAGACATTCCTTGGCGTGTGTTGTGCAGCACACGCTGAACTTCCTGGGTCATCCCACATCCAGCCACTGGGCCCTCACCTGGAGGGCTGCAGGGAATCTTGGGAAAACTTTGTCGATTTGGGCTCAAGGTCAAGCGATCTGTTTTAGACTTCAGGAAACTTAGCTTAAGGAATATTGAAAGGGCTCATAAAGGAGGTGTGGAGGGTTGGCTTGCCGTTGGTTTGTTAATGCGACTTCAGAAGCATACCTTGTTTTGCTATTTAATCACTTAATCAATTATTTTCAACATGATATTTCCTTTTTCTTAAAAAAAGAGGTTTGTCCCTGACAGTAAAGCATTGGCAAGGATGTAGTCTTCAGTGAATTCCTGGAATATGCCTTTTACTTTTCTTTTATTATGATGTCCCATCTCTCCTTAGTATGGAGAAACAACAGAGGTGAAAGGGAAATCTGGGACAAATACATTCAGCATCAGAAGTCAAACTGAGATATTTGGATTCCAAGTTCAGTACACTGTTTTAGCATTATGCATAGTCAACTAAGTATTTAATAGCTAATCAATGAGGACCTGAGATTGTGGCTTCATTTTTTAAAATTAATTAATATATTTTAATTGGAGGATAATTACTTGACAATATTGTGGTGGTTTTTGCCACACATAGACATGAATCAGCCACGGGTGCACATGTGTTCCCCGCATCCTGAGCCCTCCCCCACCTCCCTCCCCACCGCATCCCTCCAGATTGGCCCAGAGCACCGGCTTTGAGTGAGTGACCTGCTTCATGCATCGAACTTGCACTGGTCATCTATTTTACATATGGTATATACATGTTTCAATGTTATTCTCTCAAATCATCCTACCCTCACCTTCTCCCACATAGTCCAAAAGTCTGTTTTTTACATCTGTGTCTCTTTTGCTATCTTGCATATAGGGTCGTTGTTACCATCTTTCTAAATTCCATATATATGCATTAATATACTACTGTATTGGTGTTTCTCTTTCTGACTTACTCCACTCTGTATAATAGGCTCTAGTCTCATCTACATCATTAGAACTGACTCAAATGTGTTTTTTTTATAGCTGAGTAATATTCCTTTGTGTATATGTACCACAGCTTCCTTATCCATTTGTCTGCCAGTTGACATCTAGGTTGTTTCCATGTCCTAGCTGTTGTAAACAGTGCTGCAATGAGCACTGGGATACCTGTGTCTCTTTCAATTCTGGTTTCCTCAGTATGTATGCCTAACTGTGGGATTACTGGGTCATATGGCAGTTCCGGCTTCATTTTTGAGATTCACATACACTAAAAACTAGGGAGCAACATCTGAGGGCACATTTATCACTAGCTTACTTATGCACAGCCTCATTCCATAAAGGGAATGAAGTCTTCTGCAACAATGCCATGTACAATAAATAATGGCAAAAAGTAAACTGGAGGAGCTGGAAGATCTAGATGGGGACAAAAGACTGATGCAGACTTAACCAAAGGACTTCAGGTGTGTTATGTGAGGGCTCATAGGTTGCTACAGTTTGTTTTCCTCTGTGGCAGCAAGCCAAGCTGAATTCAAGTGTGAAGGGACCACAGACAGAAAAGAAGAAGCTTTCCCTGATAAAAACATCCTCTCTGAGTGCATAGAATATTCATCACCACTCAATTCACTGCACCCTAGAAAGTGAAACAATTTAATAGAGTTAATTTCCCTGTGTAAGAAACCAGCGTTTATTGTTAGAGGATGGGGCATGAAGCTGGCAACTTTGCTGGTGAAAGGAGGTCGGGTTGGGAGGTTAGCGCCCTGAGGCTGAGACCAGAGTGGGTAATGCAAGGATCCTGGCCCTGGGAGGGTGACAGCAGTGTGCGAATGGGGAGCTCTGATGACAACTGTGACCTACACCACAGTTTGTTTTGGTTTTTTCCTAGTACTGGTCCTAGTGTAATAAATTACAAAATAAAAGGAGGCAAAGGATTGCTTGGTAGAGAAATATGTACACTTAGTCCTAAGGAAAGAAAGAAAGCTGGCAAGGGACACCCTCTTTCTACAGAGTAATTTGTTGGACTTTAGTTGTAACAGGGTCATTCTAATAAAGCCAAACCAAGACATGTGGAAGCGAAGAATTTAGGTTAGCCTGATTTTATTTCACAGTCTTTTGCAAACTTTCATGGGTCATGTTGTGATGCAAGGCATTTATGTCTGCAGATGACCTTAGGTGCCCTCTCTGGGTGGCCTTGGCAGTGATCCAGCTGGCCCCTGGGGGCTCCCCTTGCCAGGGAGATGGGCTGTAGTTCTGAGCGCAGCTTCTTACCTAAGCATAGCCTTTCTCCTGAGTGGGGTGGCCTGCAGTCCTGCATGGATCTCAGATCTCTGGATGCTGGGTGCTGTCTTGCCCCGACAATTCTAGTAGACAGCTGGCATCTAAAGCCACCCTGCCTAGCACCAGGATTCTGTCTGCTCCTCCTATAGCAGTGTCGCCTTCTCCTGAGGCAGAGAGGAAAGGGGCTCGGGTTCCTTGACTGGGACGTTAGCCGCAATTGCTTGTCTAGTAGGATACCCTGGCCCCCCCTCCATGGAGACAGAGGGTGACCCCACCTCCTCTAATGCTGTGAGCCTAACTGTGCAAGCCTCCACTTCCCTCAACAAACCCCTCTCTTTAACTTATATTCTGTGACATTGCCCTTCCTTCTAAGGTCCTTACAGACAGATCGCCATCCATGAGATCCATGTTTAGGACAGTTGTTATGAAGGTAACGAGTGATAGTCCTTATATCCTAGGTTTAAGTCATGACTGAGAGGTCCTTCCAAAAACTTACAGTAAAATGACATCGACTTCATGATTGAAAATCCTCTTGAGTGCAGGGTGAGCTCTCAGCCTGAAGCTAATTGGCTCTTCTTAGGCATCGTTACAGCCTTACCCGGTAAAATGCTTCCTCTATTTAAATTCTAATCTCAACCCTGTTAATGTGCTGCTCTCTGTAGGTAAGTACTAAGCAGGCCATTAAATGAAGTGTTTATGATCAGATTTCATACTAACTCCTGAATGAAAGATGCTGAACACTATGGGTGGTCTCGTCAATGCAGTCACCAGCACTAATGATCATTTATCCATCTCAGACTGGGCTCTCTGCTCCACTGGCTGTGTGCTGAGTAGATCCTAGTGTTGGTAACAAATATGGGTTCTAATGTCGTGGAAACAGCAAAGTCTTATACAAATGGAAAGCCATCACTCAATTATTTTTCTTTTTATTGTTGTTACTGTTGTTAGAATATTAGTTAATTCAATTCTGTCCTCTGAATTGAACTTTAACTAGGATTAGATTTTATGACAGTGAAAGACATTGCTTATGAATGGGGGAAAATAAGGATTGAATAGGTTTTTCGCAAGTCTTTCTTTTAAGCTTTG